TACAGTCTCCAGCATCCTGAAATCCTTTTTTCTCTCCCTTTTTCATGCCATTGTCTCTTGTTGCTTTGTCTCTCTGACGGGGCTGTGGGGGTTTGCTGTCTGTTACTAAGCGTGGGGGCAACACCATGAGAAGGGCCGGAGCAGAGGGGGAACGCGCACCACACTCTCCCTCCTCCCCAACCCGGCGAGAGGGAGCTACTACCTCTTCCCCCTGCCCGCAGACCAGGAGCGGCCCCTCCGCGACTTCGCTCCGCGTTTCCTGCCACGAGACGGGGGCCGAGGGGGCCATCCCGGCACTTTAGGCTTTTCCGTGGGAGTGTGCCCTCCCTGTGGCCCCAGGGCTCACCAGGGGACACGGAGGCGGCTACTACTCGCTGAATTCTCCCATTTATTTAAATGCAGTTTATGAAAAGTTGAAACCTTGTAGCACATTTTCTTTTGTTGTTGTTGGTTTGATTTTTGTTGGGTTGGTTTAAGCGTTGTCAGCATCCGGAAATCCGGGCACAAAAGAAACCCCAGCCCTTACGCGCACGTTGTGATCCAATTTAACCCAGTGGCAAAGGAGTTAAAATGCCGATGAGGCTGCTCGCTTTCCACAGGGACATGGCTGGAGCAGAAGAACCAGGACCGAGGTTTCACTGCGCCCGCCCGCAGCTCAGCCAAGCTGTTGTTTTAAAAGAGCAATAAAAGTGAATTATGACTAAACGCCTTCTCACTTAATGGTTTTAGACGGGGATCCCCAGCCCCGGCAAATACGTAAGAGGATTTTTATTTGTGCATGTGTTCCTGCAATTGATCTCTTTGATGACATTCTCATTCATAGAAGGAGTTTGATTTATGACTTTCGGAAGAATTGCGTTCAGCCCTTCCAGCTATAATCCACGCATCCCAGCTCCACAGCGTGTTGCAGAGCTGGGAGACAACACTCCTCGCATGGACAGACAGCAGAGCCCCGTTCGCAAACACCCACCCAAGCCCCGCTCAGCTGTGTAATGTAACCACACGCACTCATATGCACACAAGAAGCCGCGAACGCACCCTCCCCGGATTCCCCATCCCCGGAGCGGCAGAGCCCCGCTGGCATCTGTTGCTCGCTTTTAGCCCGAAGGACGGGGCTCACCCTCCGCCTTGGGGTCTCCCGCTAAGCTGCTAGCGGGGTGGCAGGCAATTTGGTTGAGATTTCTGAAAGCCCGTCTTTGCTGCCGCCAGCAGAAGAATGGGAAGCCGGAGGAAATTGTAACTTTAAAGTCATAGAGTTTCCCCTTTGCGTTATCAGTTCTTCACCTCGCAAGGTTTAAACAGAAAAATATCTTCGGTTCTGCCCCCGCACCACCCCTCAAATGATGGAGTGGAAGGGCTGGTTCCTACCTAAATACTTTTTCTTCCCCCTATGTTTCTGCCACCCTTTTGATTTCACAGGCACTAACTTCTCCATTTCCTCTCCTCCTAGAGCTGATTTCTTGGACTGCTCAGCATGTGAGAAGTAACCAGGCGCATTCTCTGTGAACTCTGATGTTTTTTGTGATATGCTTCCTGAAAAACCTTGCTGGCTGCTAAGCACTACTTTCTAGAAAAACAGGATTTTTTTTTCTTAAAGAACCTTTCCATTCGTTCATGGGACTGGCTAGTTTTTGCAGGAGACGCTTATCCTACTGAGTCTCTCTTATGTTCTGCCTGTAACAGAGAAAGTGCTCGTTCATGCTTTTGTTACAGCTCACATTTCCAAGTTTTGCATCCTCACAGAGATAAGATGCTGCGTTTATCCATTAAAAGGAACAAATCTCCGTCAAACCTGTGAACGATTTTAATTTCTTTGTTTTTTTTTCTTTGTGATAATCTTTGCGATAAAGAATTTGAATGGGCTTTTCCTCTCTAATAAACATCCTAATTTGCCAAAAGGGAAGAGCTCGTAGTCAGAACGTTGGATTTTGATTATTAGTAAATTAATAGTGGAAGGGATGGGGAGAGATACGCATCATGTTATCAGTCTTGAAAGGCGAGAAAAAGAGAGGAGTAAGAAAAAGAAAAAAGAGAAAGCTCCTTGTAGCAAACAAGAATTTATTCTACCAAAAATACTTATGACAATGCATCCTAATGCAATACAAAAATAAAAAGAAAGTGAAGATACATTCCTATATGATCACTTTCTTACAGACCTCATATATTGCTTTCATAGAAGGACCTAGAATGTGGCTAGGTTAAAATTGAACACAACTAAAACTTCATAAGAAATGGCAAAATGGCATAGCAGAGGGAAGTAACAAACAGAAAATACTGACAAGGGAAAGGGAGGGGAAAAAATAAAATTAATTCACTGGAGGGGAAAAAAGTAATAATGAGGAGAAAGCAGGACCCTTGGAGAGGACGTCTTTAATTTCTCAGTAATTCAGATGCTGCAAGTCAATTGTGGTGAGTGTGTCTGTAAAAAAGTCGAAACTGTCAGCAGAAATATCTACGGGACTGTCCAGAGATCCTGGCAAACTGGGGGAAACCGCATCTGAAAGCTGTAGGCAGGAATCTGTGGAGAAAACGCTAAAGTCCTGTAAAGAAGGGACATCTAGGGCCTCAGGACTGTCATTGTTCAGGCCAGCTGCACAGTTCTGGGCCATTGTTGAGAGGCAGTTTTGAACAGTGGGTGACTGATGTTGAAAATGTTTCAGATTTTTCTCATTGCTCGTTAAAGGCGAAACGGGGAAAGTTTGGGATTCGCCATTGTGCGCATTCTGCGCCTGCTGCTGGGAGAGGGCATTCTGCTGGAAAGTGTAGCCTTCCCGCTCCAAGAGAGCACCGGAGACGTTGCTAAGGGCTTGCTCGAAGAGGGATTTCTCCTCTTCCTCCTCCTCCTCTTCCACCGCTTTTTCGGGGTCCTCTAGGCTCTTAAATTTCCCCTCGCCGTTTTGGTTCTCCTTGCACTGGGTTTGTCTCTTGTGCTTCATCCTCCTGTTCTGGAACCAGACTTTGACTTGTCTCTCAGTCAGATCCAGCAAGGCTGCAATCTCAACCCTCCTTGGTCTACAGAGATACTTGTTGAAATGAAATTCTTTTTCTAGCTCCAAAAGCTGGGTGTTGGTGTAAGCCGTCCTCAGGCGCCTAGATCCACCGCTACCGCTATCGGGGATTTCAAGGGGGTCTGTTAAAAAAAGAAAAAAAAAAAAAAAAAAGAAAAACACCACCACCACACGCACCCCAAAGCATCACCGCCAGAACAGCAAAAGCAAAAACGCACGGACGCACACACAAAACAGATAAATGCACGGATTGAATTTCAGCACCCGAGCACATCGCATCCCCGGGGGGGTGGGCGGGAGTGCTCTCTCTGCATGTATGTGTCTATATCTATATGTCCATATAGCATAAAATAGCAACTGCAACAAAATGGCCGCCTTTGGATGCAGTAAACCCATTGTGTTGCACTGCTGAGCGCCCTGTGCTGCGTGCCCCTCGGCCACCTCTGCCAAATCGCTGCCTCCAGCTCCCCAACCTCCTCACACCAGAGCAAACTTTATATTAGCCATACCGCAATTTATAATTAATGCATCAGCTGCTTAGCTGAGCGGGAGCAATCTATCACTCTTCATTACTGTCAAATATCCTAACTCTAGGACGGCGAGACAAGAGAGGTCAGCTCCAACTCAAATAAATCATCCCGCATTAAGCAAGTTTGGGGAAAGTTTGGGTTTCCAGCGATCACCGCCAGCTCCGTCCTTCCCGCCGCCCGCCCTCCTTCTCGTCCCCCCGCGAAGCCAGGGGGATGCGGGGAGCCGAAATAGCGGCCCGGCGGGGCCGGCGGCACGTCTTTGGACTGACCTTTGTGGCTGAGGCAGGCAGGTCCAGCGGCTGAGGCGGAGGCCGAGGCGGGCGGCAGCGCGGATCGCTTGGACGCCTTTTTCTCTTTCATCCAGGGGTACTCCGGGGGTGGCGGGGCGCCGGCGGGGCCCGGGCTGCCGCTGCGGCCGCGGGGGCTCGCCTTGGGGCGACCGCCGCCGCTGTGGCGAGGGTGGCTGCCGGGGTTCAGGCTGGGGATGGTCTGCTCGAAAGGAGGAGGAATCAGTGTCGAGTGTGAAAGCGTCGAGTTCTTGATTGATGAACTTTGAAATGTATCACCGACAGGGGGAAAAGATGTCAGGCACTCAGCAAGCGATGGCTGGCTATTGATAAAACCGATCTCTCGCTCAAATGCGAAATTCATGGCCTTCAACTGGCAGCCCCCGCGGAGAAAAAGTTCCCTCGGATTCAGGGGGCTCGGGGGGGGAAGGCCCAAGAAAAAGGAGAGAGAGGAGAAAAAAATATAGCATAGAAGATCGCTGGTGGGGTGTTTTTTTTCTAATTCACTGATTACAGCCGTATGGGGACCGTGCTACTATTAAACTATTGAATTCATGGAGACAAGGTTGAAATTGGACCGAATTGGCTGTCACATGATTGCCTCTGCCCAATGACAATTTGGGCTTTAATCAAAAGAAGCCACTGTCTGTTTGATTGATCCAAAAAAGTCGGGAAGGAACGCCTCATTGGGGGCCAGAAAGGCTTTATTTACACTTTTTTTAAAGAGGGAAATGATATGTCGAGTATCTATCCCCTTGGCGTCCTAATCTGAAGTGATCGGGGGTAGGGGGAGGGTGCATGTGCGTGGATATATTTGTGTGAGAGGCTGTGAGTGTGTGTGTGTGCGCGAGTGTGTGTGTGTGTGTGTGGCTGCTTGTCCTGCAGCCTCCCTCGCATCCACCCGCACACTCTTCTCTCATTGTTTGGGACTGTCAGGAAAACGCTTTGCACCTCACAAATCATTTAAGCACCTCAATCTGACGCCTTGAGTCATTAACAAAGTAATCCATTAATCTTTAAAGTTTTGACACCGTCAGGCCCCCGCATAAGAAGTTACATCCAGGCAGGAGTGGGAAGCAGAGGGTCCTGATTTTTTCCTAGGAATAGCACTTCCTCCAAAACTAGTTTCTCCTTCCCGTTCTCCTTCCCTACTCAGCCTCGATGGGCTCCTTTTTATTTCTTTTCTTTTTTCCTTTTTTTTCTTTTTGTTTTCTTGATTTTTTTCCCTTTCTTTTTTTTCCCCTCCTTTTTTCCTCCTTTTTTATTTTTTTTCTTTTTTGGTGGCTAACGGGGGTACAGTACGGAGAACAATTCCTCGCCGGTGCTGAGCCAGTGTTTATCAGGATCTTCCTCGGCAGCCTTGCTTCTAGGGGAAGAGTCATATAGGCAGAAGCCCCGGTGCTTCATGACTTCCCTTCTCCAGTTGGCTTCCCGGGATTGGACCGTAAAACATAACTCTAGGAGAAACAGATCTGGGTGAGCCAAATGGCGAGGCTGCAAACGGGTCTGGCTGTTGCCTCTTAAAAAAAAATATGTAGACTGTGCCTTAGCTTGCAAACGATACTCCCGGCTGCTGGCATAATTTGCTTAATAACCGTAGTAGGCGGGGTCCGGGTAGTATTTTCGATTACAAGGAAATATATGAGCTGGGAGCGGGTTTGTTTTCACGGGGCCAGGCAGGGCGAAAACGCTGCGGGGTTAGGACTTGAGACACGGCACTCGCTTCCGCCGCTTGGCTCTCACCGCCGTCGGCTCAGTCGCCCCTGCCAGGTCGAGGCAAGTCCCGAATTTGGATGCGGTGGGCACAGTTTTCCAACCAGACCGAAGTGAGAGGAAGAGCGATGACAATGATGGCCACAGTCACCAACCCGCTGAATCCGATGGTCAAAGCCGCCCTGGGCAGCCGGGACGGGACTTGCTTTTCCGCGGAGCCCAGAGTGCCCAGAAGGGGAGGGTGCGCCGGGGGCCGAGGGGAAGTCGCTTCCGAGTCGCTATCCGCGTCCTCCAGGAGCCAGGAACGACAGCCAGACCGAGGAGGTGCCGTCCCGCTTTATTTGCGGAGTTGCCAAAACGGTCGGCAACCGTCTTTGTAATTACTGAGAAAAAAAAAAAAAAAAAGGCGGGGGGGGAGGAAAGAGAAAACAAGACCCCGAGCACTCAGCGGTTCGGTCTGCGTCCAGTCTGCACGAAGTGCATTTAAAAAATAGGTTTTAAGTTAATGCACCCACAAGATGTAGCATATCTCCGAAGGCATTGGAGAGAGGGGGAGGGGAGGGGCCGGGAGGCTTTAAATGGGCTTTTTGGTGGTTGCTTGTTTAAATAAAATATAGAACGAGACTTGTCATTTAATCCCTCAAAAGGGATGACTTACAAATATCGATGCTGTTGGAAAATGCAAGGGGTTTAATTTTCTTGCTTTTAGTCCAAACAAAGCTCTGGTGGTGTCTGTGCGCGATCAATCTTGGCCGCCAAAAGGTTTGACAGCTTACTGGCCCTTAAGAACACATTTAAAGCTTCTTGGTCTTTCCAAGATCAAATGTGGCCGAGAAAAGAGGCAGAGCAAGAAACGCAAGTAAACAAGACAAAAAGCTGCTTTTAAAATATGCTGGCAGAGGACTGAGCTGCTGGGGAAAGTCCAATTTTATTTTGCTTCTTGGTGCCTACGCTGGGGTCGGCTTTTTCTTTTTCTTTTCTTTAATTTTTTTCCCCTCTGGAAAATATTGGGATTAACAGCAGGATGACAAATAATAAAGAAAGAGGTTTGGACTTTAACCAGGCTTTGTGAGTAAAACCTGTGTGGGTGTCTCTATTCTGCACATTTGTTTCTTGTGGTTAGTCTAATACAAAAACCACCTGGAACAAAACCTTTGGCGAGAGGACGCAAAATTCTTGGGGAAATCAATTACTGCTGCCTCCAGGGGGATCTTTTAATCGGGCGAATCTTAAAAGCGAAATTACAAATTCTTATGTGCAACCTACAGGGTCCGAAGAAGAGATTTAATACTGTTTATGGAAAGAAGAGGACAAAATCGCCTGTATTTTTCTTTCTTCGAGTGGGAGGGGAGTAAAACGCCAAATTCCTTCTTTTTGAGCATTTTCCTTAATGTAACTCGTGGTGCTTAAGGAACCACGCAGTAAGTATCGTGAGTGTACCGTTACCTTTTGTTGTATCTAACCTAACTGATCTGAGAGGTGGGGGGGCGGCTTGAATTTTATACGGGCGCTCCTTTGAAACGAGCAGTGTCTTGCAATGTGGCAAAAATGCTTCCTTCACCTACAAAAATAATAATCAGTCTTTGGTCTGTATTGGGTAGTAATCAGTTTTCAATGAAAAATATCACCCTACATAGCCATTCTTTCCACGGTTACATGTCTACATATACAATAAACAGCACGGTATAAATCTATTTGCTGTTCTTTTCTTTGACTGAGCACGCTTTATCTATTTATGCAGAAAAGCTCTGTATAGATTCACGGATGCATGACAATGTTTCAGCATCAGGCAAGGATGGTTCTGGGAACAAGATAAAGCCCAAAGATTAATAATATTTCAGTATGAGACCAAAATGGCGACATTTTTTTTCTGTGCTCTAAGAGATACAGATGGTGAACAGCGTGCATTATTATCTACATAGCATAGGAATATGTCTTTATAAACATTCAGGGGTGTATTTTACCTAGTATATTAAGGTCCGTTTTGATTTATCTTTCAAGTTTCAATCTGAAAATTATGGACATTTCGCCTGAAAGGAAGAAAAATGGGATTTAAACACAAGCATGTGGGTTTCTCCCTTCTACCTCGAGCTGATTCGGACCGGAGACCCCTACGGGTGCCCGTTTGGGGCCGGGACAGTCGCCCTTCTACAGTACCGTGTCCCCCTCCTGCGATAAAAACACACACGCACACACATCCACACCCCCACGAGGGAAGAAAGGGAACACAAGGCTCCCCTCCCCCACAGCTTCAGGCTACGGTGGGAGGAAAGACGGCTCAGCAAGAATGAAACAAGCTCCAAATAAAATAATAAAAATACTAATTATTTAAAAAAAAAAAAAAAGGTAAAAGGAAAAATCCACTTCTTAAAGGAAAAGGAAAAAACGACGGCGGGGATGGCGGGTGGAAGGAGTAGCGGAGTGCACGCATCCACGCCCCAGCCGCATTCGCGGTTCGGCCGGACCCTTCTCTACCACCACTGCTCCCCAGTGCTGGCGGGGCTCCGGAGCCCCGGCTCCCGGCTCCCCTCTTTCCACAGCGGGCCAGCCCAGGGACAAGGCGACCCCTCCGCGCCAGCGCCCACGCAGAGCTTTATCCTGAGCTCTGCTCCCATGTGCTTCACACACACCCTTGTACACACATACACGCACACACCCCCGCTGGCCTCCTCGCGCTGCTCCGCCGCCGGTCCCCCCTCAGACCCCGCGGGGAGGGGGCGATCCGCACCCGCCTGCCCTCCGCGCCGGGCGGGCACCGCGCAGCGGGTGCGGGAGGAGGCAGCAGCCACGGGCCCTGAAGCACCGCTGAAGGAAAGAAAAAAAGAGAGAGAAACATAGAGGGGAAAGGGAGAGGAAAAGAAAACTCTCTCTCCATGCCTAAGAAATGCTGTAAAGGCGTCGCGGGGCCCTTCGGGTGGGCGATGAGATCCTCGTGTGAGTTTACAGGCGAGTTTCCTATCTCCCCACGTCATGAAGGGCTCTCCCTTCCCCTGAGCTGTGAAGAACATGTTCTTAACTCTTTCTTATTCAGAATAAAAACTTTATTTTTTTTTTCCAGAACGTGAGCAGCAAGGAATGTATAACTTTCAAAACAAATCTAGCCTTTTCAGCTTCACACGCTTTTCACCTAGCTGGATGTTACAAGCATAAAGTATTCAAACCGTGATCTTTTTTCCCAGATTTTATTGCATCATCATCATCATCGTTATCACCATTTTTAATAAAAGGAGCTACTAGTTTCCTTTCAAATGATATTTCCAACACGTGCCGATATGCCATCTAACATATGGCCAGGTAAATACCGCCTGAATATTCAGGGTACAGATTTTTTTATATATATATAAATATGAACAAATGGGGATAAATAAAATTTTAAACACTTAGATTATTCAATGTTTGCAAAAAAAAATATAAATAAATCTGAATGTTCACCAGCATACACACATTGAAAGACTTACACGTATCAATAATTGTCCAGGGAGGCCCTGTCCAAGCGCTTGTGATGTCTTTCTTGCTATTTAAAAGAAGTGCAATAAAAAAAATTGCTTCCCCGTGGGATCAATCATGTACGAACAAATTCACATTTAAGAATTCCTTTTATAGAAAATTTGTTCATATACCCTGTTTTGATAAAAGTGTAGAAGGTAAAGTATAAAGCCTCTGCATACTCCCAAAGTGAGACACAAGGCTACAGTTCAAGAAGATAAATATCCACTAGTGAAACTATAGAGCAATTCAAGCAACAAATATTGCTACGTCACATAAACTAGAAAACGCTTTTACGAAAGGAAACAAACCAAACCAAAATGAACAAAAGAAACAAGAAGGGGAGGGGAGGGCACATGATGGGGGGAGGAGAAAGAGAAGGGAAGGGATGAGTACTTTCCAAAACTTGGGGGCTTGGTGTTCCACTTAGTGACTCCTGTCTCTTACAGATGGGTGAGTTTGGGCGCTTCCTGAATTCTTCCCTGAGAAGGATGGTGAGCAGTAAGGTCTGTGTATGTTGGATGTGGATCACAAGGTCCATGGTGGTGATTGTTGCCCATTGGCCCAGCCCCGCTGTAGTCCATGTTGGCAGAGGGAGGATGAGGGAGATGAGTTAGACCAAAGATGGAAGGCCCAGAATTGGTCATGGTCTCCACGTAGTTGCCCCCTACATAGACGGGGCTTCCCTGTATATGTGGATTCCCATAACCGTTGCCTTGAAGAGGATGAGTATCGTATTCAGGTGTCACAGCTGCCGTTCCCGTGTATCTCTTTTGAGGAGGTGGGCAATTATTAAGAGGAGTGGTATACGATGCAGGGATGCCATAGGTGTTTTGATGAGGCTTGTTAAATGGTGGAGGCGACTGGGGCTCGTAGGGGACGCTGTTTACTAAAGAATGCATAGAGTTTAGATATCCCCCAGCAGCTGGAGGGACAGGGCTTCTGCTTGGGGACTGTCCTCCTGAAGAGGTCATCATGCCCTTGCCCTTTTGATCCTTTTTGTATTTCATTCTGCGGTTTTGAAACCAGATTTTGATCTGTCTTTCCGTGAGATTGAGCAAATTAGCCATTTCTACCCTTCGTGGCCTGCAAAGGTACCTATTGAAGTGGAACTCCTTTTCCAGTTCTACCAGCTGGGCACTTGTGTAAGCTGTACGGGCTCGCTTAGAGGAGGCTTGCCCCGGAGGGCTTTTATCACCAGCACAACTCTCACCTATGTAAATCACACAAAGAACACAATCAGCATGGCAACATGAGAAAATGGCCAACACCACCAGCACCGGGGGAGTCCAGCTCTCAAGCACAGGATGGATGCCCATGTGTGCAACGAGTTCTCCCCCATGGCATGAGCTCAAGTGTGCCAAGCAACAAGCATCAAAAGACTTCCTTCACCTCTTTAGTGTCACTATATGACTACACTTGCTTCCTTTAAGAATGACAACATGCAACATATCTTGAACTTGGCATGAGGAACAGGAAAGGTTTAGGGAAATCCAGTGAGGTTTAGAAAGCCTGAAGGTGAACCTATGGCTCTGTTAGCATAGTGTGATCAGAGTCTTCAAGAACTAGCTGTTCTCCATTGTTGTAAAGACCTGAAGCTCTCTTTTTCTGAAAACCATTTAATATACCATTTCAAATATATATATACATATAAGCTAGAAATGCCTGAAAATTGGGTATCTACGGTATAAAATTTTAACATAAAAACATAGAATTGACAGTATAGTGTTTCTGTCATGTCTAGGGTATGGCATAAACATATGGTAGTGATTGGGAAGTATCCTACAGTAGCTAGGCTTGCAGATAGGCATATAGATATACTGAAACTTTACTGTTTTTTAATAAAATAAATACATGATATGGAAGGCTGTAAACAGCAGTGTCACCATGACTTTAAAAAGCAGACTGGCAAAGACCATTGCTAAAGTTTTGGACTCTCTTTCCAAGGCACACTTCAGTGAAAAAGAGGAAGAAGTCAGAATAAACCCAACTCCTGGGCATTAGAGCTAGCACTGGTGTTATCAATTTAGGTTTCCTTCAGTAATAAAAGCATTGATATACACTTCCATCCCTCAAATAATGTTTTATGGGCTGAAGTTTATGGCACTCCAGAATGATTTCTGTTTACCAGGCTTGTAACTTTGCCAATCAGCTTATTAAAATAGGAAGAGGTTCTGACTGCATGCAGGGCATTGATCCTGCCTGGATGTGATTATGAGCTATTTTATTCCCGTTACACTTCAGCAGAGATAGGTCACTGTCTTATTAATCTAACAGCACCATGCCAACAAAGTACTCGGGACAAGTCTCTGGCTTAAGGTCTGGGCTGCTCCACATTGACATGATTTACTGGAGGGGGGATTATCTAGGAAATGCGATGGATGCGGGAGGGCACAAGTGGTTCAGCCACTTAGGAAGCAAAGTCAATTCAGACCTATTCTGCAAGGCTGGAAAAGTTTTGCATGGGATGATTTGTTCACTGCCTTCACTGACTCCCCTCAGTGAATAAGCCGACTGATAGCAACCCCTTTCCAAAAGCTTAAGGCAGTCAACTCAGAGAGCAAAAGTGCCCCCGCCCTCCCTTCCCTGAAGTGAAGATGGGTAGAGACAGCCCTCCTCCCTACTGGATGCATAGCCAGCCATGGGGTACCCAGGGAGAGGGGGAGCATGTTTCATACCTGAACTGGAACTGCTGGTTTTTTGCTTTGTGTTTTGCCGAGACTCTTTCATCCACGGGAATATCTGTTTGGACACGGTGGGTGAGTTAAGAGCTGGGCTCTTGGTGGGGTTGGCTGGGGCAGGGTTGCTGCTGGCATTTTGAGATGGTGAGGTGGAGGATGGAGGTGGAGGTTGTGCCTGCTGGGCTGGAGGTGGCTGCGGTGGAGCCTGTGGGTCAGTGAGGCCAGGAGGCTGGAGAGGCTGGTTGGGGAGGGTCCTCATGCAACTCTCACTGATGTCATTGGCCTTGTGGTGGGACACAGAGCTGCCAGGGGACTGGAGGGAGCACGCAGGGCGGTGGTACTCAGTTTCCACAAGTGATGAAGATGGAGGATATTGCTGCTGACTCGCATTATAAGTGAAACCATTTGCTCCTTGGTAGGGGTAGGCACCATAGATTGCAGAGCTGTCGTAGTAGGTCGCTTTTTGCATTTCGTTGTTTCCCAATATTTATTTCACAAACTGACAGGGTCTTGACACCCTTGGAGAATAACATTGGCACCCCTCTGTCACGTGGCGTTCTTCCTCCAATGGCCTCTCCAGGCAGACCTGGGGTGTGGGGAGAGCAGAGCAGGGTGAAGAAATGGTACAAATCCATCTTACTTTCAATAGCTAAGTGACATGAAAGCCATAAAAGAAAAAGTGGTCAGCAATATTTAGCAGCATGACTTGGCCTCAGGCGCAGAGCATTTACTGGCAGCTACAAATATGTGCTTTGCTGCACCGGGATATGGGCTTTCCAGGGTTATTTATTTATTTATTTATTTATTTATTTATTTATTTATTCTTAAGAAATAGAGCAAGGGGGTTTGATCGTTTATCACCAAGAGACTGTTTTAATACTGGTCGCTGAGATAAGGGTGATTGAGGAATCAGTAATGGGTAGGGGGTGGGCTCTTACTTCATTCCAACTCTAAGATCAAACTCTCTCCTGTAACCAATGTCGTTTTATTTTTAGCCTTTCTCTCCTGGTTCTCTCTATACAACTTCAAAGAAATACATGAGATTGTTCCTGTCTACGTGTGGCAGGGGGCAGGAGAGGGGTGGAAAGGTTCCCTAGGCAGGGATATGTAAACACTCCTATTCCAAGTGATGGATTTTAGCTTGTCTACGAAACGCTCGATAGGAAAATAAACAAAGCACCTTCTCCCCTCCGTGCTCGCACCCCAACCCGAAACGGTCAGGTCATGCACCCCGGCAGCAGCGGTTTCTGCACGGGCGAGCCCCGACCGACGCCCGCAGCAGCTCCCTCTCGGCCCCGGAGTGCTCGAGCCCTCCTCCCACTCGTGACTGGGTCTGGAGCCTTAACTGCACCCGCCGCCGCACAAAGCCCCTTCTGCGAGGCCAGCAGGGGCAAGTTGGGAGCTTCGCCCGTGGTTGTTTTTTTTTTCCCAGCAGTTATTTTCAAGACACTAACTTTTCGTGGAATCAGCCAGATCCTACCTGTTAAAACATGATGGATTGGGGGAAAAAAACACCAGGAACCTGAAAAACCAGCGTTCATCTCCATGACCACGGCTTGAACTTTCCTTCCAACTTAGCGATAATAGGTTCTGTCTTGGAAACTGCTATGTAATTTGATGTATGAGGGTCACTTGGCTGGGGAGAGGGTGGACACAAATCCAGAGAATGCTTCTCCTGCCCGGGCGAATCCCTTCCCCGCCACCCCCCCACCCCCCCACCCGCTCCCCTTTTTTTTTTTTTTTGTCACCCCATCCTCCTTTCTTTCTGGGATTCCCCCCCCTCCACACAACCCCCCCTCTCTCCCCAGATTAAAGTCTACTGGTCACCTGCTTGAAAATAACCAATTAAAGAATCACCCGTATTAATGAGAGAAGACCTGTGCGTAACCTCCGATCTAGGAGCTGTTTCCACACGCACTCACATTGTTCTCAGAAATTGAAGTGTGTTCCTCACCGTCCCCTACCCTCTTGCTGGCAAATAACCATGTCTTTTCAGATCAGAAGAGCCTCTCTTTTCTTTTACCACTTTCCCTGTACTTAAGCAGCTGGATATTTCCCCCCCAAAAAAACATCTAACGAGGACAAATGCTTAGGGGCGAAAAGCCTTACACAACATATGCACCAAACGAGCTCATTCTATGCCTTTCAAGTTATACAGGTTCTTAGAAAACAGTACTCCTTTTGTTAGATCGTAACAAAATGAAGGCAATACACCTACAGCAGAGCGGCTATCCTGTTATTGCACTAATCAAGCTCTTTGGATGCTATTAAGCTAATAAGGCGATGGAGATCTGAGGCGCGCACACAATTTCCAGTTCCTCGCCTCTCCTTCCCGATGCTATCTAGGCCTGGTGTGATTTTTCTCAATTCCTTTGAAAGAGAGAATATAGACACCACTACCAGAGGAGAAGGAGGAAATAATCGGCCAGCGGTGATTTTACAAAGACACCCGCCTTTCATGATCGCGACATCAAATATTTCGCCTTCCCTCGGCCGCTAGGAAGTTTTGAGGCGCAGGCAGGACGGGTAGTGCGGAGTGGGGATGCTCCCGCAGCTGCTGGCCCGCAGACAATAGACAACTTTACTCGGAAGTAAAAATATTATTGAAGTTTCGGCCGCCTACCAGCAAGTAAAAAAAAAAAAATCAGATCCCGCGTTTGGCTTCGCCAAGTTAATCACTTCCTACAAAGTTATGGAGAAGCGGGGGTAACCTGAGGAGAGCCTGGTCATTCCTGGAGAAAGCGGGAATAGCGAGACTAAGAGCGACAACGATCACGATAATAATAGCGTCCTAACGGGAGAGGGGAGCAAGGGTGGGGGTGGATTTACCACCCCAGCCGGTGCCTGGGAGGGGAAGAGTTCTCTCCCCCTCGAATACAAAAGGCCAGGTCTCACAAACACAGATGGGCCCCCGATTTTTCCAATGCCCGGTTTATCGGCTTCATCTCCGTTTGTGCAATAACACAGCTCTGCCATTTACCAACTTCTGTCCCCCCACCCAAACGGCCCAGAGACAGCAGATGAAAGTTGCTTGGGGAAGGCAATTCGCTTGCTTTCCTCCACTCCCCACTTCAGCTCTCTCCTATCCTCTCCTTCCCTTCGTTTCCCCCTCCTCCCAAGCACACCAGGTCTTTGCCCTGTAACTCTCAGCCGAGCCCCGAACTCTGACTCTAGGACGAAAAATCGCGCAGCCCCCCTGAAAGATTTCCTGAAAGATAAAGATGAAGTTGAGAGAAGGTGGGGGGGTGGGAGGAAAAGAGCAGAGAGAGCTGCCTGAACATGAAGTGTAAGGGTATCAGTCACTGCCTGGAAGGAAGCCCCAGCTTGTGAACTCTTCTTGAACCGACATTTAAGTCTACGGTCATAAATCACTGGGACATAAACTCCGCCATTCACGACTGATAGCAGCGTATTTGTGGCCTGCTTACCTTAACTTCTGACGACTGAGGCGGAAGCCAGCATGCTCGCTCTCTCTCTCTCTTTTTTTTTTTTTTTTTTTTTTTTTTGGAGGCGACACAACCCAGGGAGCAGGGGCTGTCGGCCTCAGCCTGATCCCTGTGGCCGCGGGGTGGGCACCGGCTCAATTACTCCGCACCCGGGACGAGCCCTGCCCCGCACGGATGGGGACGGTTGCTCCGGACACCCGCCTTCCCCGCTCCCCTGGCGCTGGAGGCTGCCCACCCTACCCCGAGCCGGTCCCCGGCGTACCGGCCTCCCCCTGCGCGGGGCACGGAGGACGGGGATGTTTCCCAGGGCTGCTCTGGGAGAGGAAAGAGAGGGAAGGAGAAAGGGTGGAGGGGAGGGGGGGAGTGGAGGGGAAAAAAAAAAAAACAAAAAACAAAAACAATTTAAAAAAAAAAAAAAAAGGAAGGAAGAAAGAAAGGCGGCCGCCTGGGGAAGCCTAGGGCAGGGTGGGGGCTGGGGAGGGAGCGGAGGAGCGCGGCAGTGAAGGAGTGCGGCCCCCCCCCGCACCCGGGCGTCACCAAAGTCCAGGAAAATTATGCTAATGAAGACAAACGGCTCTCACAAAGGGTCGCTCTCACCAGCCTCCGGGGTGCTGCTGGGGGGCCTTGAGTTTGTCCCTCTTATCGGTGGGCTTGGGGGGCGGCTGCAGAATAGCCCCTCTGCCGCTCCTCACGGCCAGGAGCCCCGCACAGCCCTGGCTGAGTCCCGGGGAGGGGAGCAAAGCCCGGAGAGCCGAGGCTGGGTCCGGAGAGCCAACCGAAGCCCACCAGGATCCCCGCTCTGGGCGATGCTTTCAGAGCCACGCTGGAAATCATTAGAGTTACTAATTATTAACTCATGCATGCGTGAGCGCACACACACACAGATGTACACACAGACACCCCCCTGTCCCGTCCCTCCCCCCCAAATATCCCCAGCGCCTGGGACGGGCACAGAGGCGCTCACGCACACACATGTGCTGCACAGACGGGTCGGGGTGCCCGCAGCCCCCCGTTGGGACCTGTGGGCGTCAGCCCCGCGTGAATGCGGGCCCGGAGCCTCACAGCTCGCCTTCGCTTTCTTTCCGCGGCAGAGGTGGGGAAGGCCCTCGCCTCTTTCTTCAGCGCCACGGGTTTTGGGGGTGGTGGAGTCCCCCCAGTTTCCTGCAACAGAAACACGGCAGCGACCGTGCAAACGAGAACTTAAACAAAGTTTCAGACCCTGCCGGTCTGGCAGACGTTAACGGGGCTCTGCGTTCTGCGTTAAGCGGAACCTCCGAATAAAACCTAGGTGTAAATTTGACATTACTTCGTTAATTAAGGCATTACAAATGTAACCAGTCCGTTTAAAGCACGAGGGAGCCCGGCGTCATCTTTAAACACAAACAAAGCCAGGGGGAAGCGAGAAATAAAAAGCACTATAAGGCTGGGGTGGCCTCTTACGCATACCAATGGTTTTTGTCATTTATGGCTATGCAAGATTTATGACTTCGTGCACCAAAGCTGTAAACAGAGCACTAAAACAGAAAACACTTGCTCCTTATGGCATAAGTGAGAAGGCACCACATGAAAGGGGAAGCGGCCAGCGTAGGAGGAGAGGAGAGGCAAAAATCCCGCGTACGCGTTTTGCTTCAAACAATCCCATGAATGTTGCATCGGAAGAAAAAAAAGTCTTTTTAGTCAATAATCAACCCCACACTTTCTTCTGAAACTGCTGATCTGCCATTCGCCCACTTGCCCGGCCAAATAGCGAGAGGCAGCGCTGCGCCCCGACGGAGCCCCTCGGACTGGCGAGGAGGATTTGGACTGGGAGAGAAAGATGGGGACTGCCGAAACCTGTGGACACGGGGTAGCCTGCTGGTTTGGGGAGCCCCGCCGAAAGCTACGAGAGCTTTTCTGAGGAGCGCGTTTCAACTTGGGAGCCATCTCCAGCGGGATATTCTGACTACGTGTCTGTATTTAAGAGAGGAGAAGGGGAGTGGCGGGAAGGTCTTTTTAAAAATGAAAAGATTTGCAAAGACTTTAATCGTGAGAACCGAAAGGGTTCATAGGAATATTGTAGTGTTTCCTCCATTCGTCTTACTGCCTGCAAAGAGTATTTTGCGAGGATTCTCCTGTTAGTCCTGTTTCCCCACGCCCCCTCTCTCCCCAAAGAGGTAATTTTAAACATGAGAAGATGATTATTTTTTTTTATGTCTCCGATGATGTAGAATAAGTGTTCCAACGCACAAATCCCCGCTGTTTTTATCTGTCTTTCCCTCCCAGAGGCCGAATATTTTCTTTCTGCTTCATTCCGCGGAGAGAGATAGGGCTCAGCTCGGGGAGGGACGGGCGGCGTTTGGGGCTGATTCCTAGGTCAGAAATGAGCTGCCTTTTCTCCCCGAAGAGACCCACTCTGCGGGACTCCCTCCTGTCTCCCCCCTCCCCTCCCCGGAGTTACTATTTTCCGAATAAAATAATGCTTGTAAAGCGCCTTGTCCTTGGATGCCCCGAAACGGAAGCAGGTAGCACCATAGTTCAAAGCTGGTTTGGGGGGGATCTCTTAGAGATGAAATAGCAAGGTAGGGACTTGCTGGAGAAGGGGGGTAGTTCTGGAACTGGTGCCTGTCCAAGTCGTTAGAGATTTAGGAGGGGATATCAGCTGAATTAGAGAAGGACTGGACAATCGAAGCGAGTCGTGGTCAATCTAAATTGTTGTTTATATTTTCTAACACTAGAGAGGTAACGCACCCTTCGCTATTTGCTCAACAGACTGAAGTTATTTACACAACTCGCCGAAATCCCCCTCTCCCCCAGAACTCTTCTTGCTTTCTTTTGCTCTAGAGAAGGACTGTATTATTTATGAGTGTTTTAACTGGGTCAATATGCATCCGAACTGGGCCATAAATCAGAGGAAACGCTGCCAAGTAATTTAGCTACAATTAAAGCTCGCACTTTATTTTTGAGGCGCGTTTTGGCCCATTTCAAAATACGGTAAAGCCAGCCTTGGCTTTTAGACACACAGCTGGGAGTGAAACAGCTCTCCTCCCCTCGCTGAAGAGAGAGAGACGCCGGGTCTAAGAAAGGACAACGTGCTTCAGTATGGCGAGAAGGGGAAATATAACTTATTAGGGTCAGTTCTGCTTTGAGAGCAGCTTTAAAGAACAGGAAAACGTGAGACCAACCCAAACATCACCCTACAGATCTCTGCAGAACGGCCGCGAGCAGCTCCGAGTGGAAATAACCTTTTTTGTTGTTGTTTTCAGCAGAGATTTTATCATCGTTCGCTTTTCTTCTTCTTTCCTTCCCTTTCTGACCGCTCAGAAGACGAGTAATTAAAAACACCGGGTAACTGGACACAAGATAGTACAACAGGAATAGGCGAGAGATGTGGAGGAAAGCCAGTCCCGGTGCTCCAACCTTTCCCAAAGCCGGGGCACACCGGGGAAATATGATTTCATATAGCATTTTGCCCTCCTTGGATAGCCAAATAATCTTTCTTTTTTGTCATTTAAAGCGCATTCTTCATATATATATATATATATACGCCTTCATATTTATAAGTATATGCAAATACTCACATATTTATATACACAGATATAGCTATATTTGTGTAAACGACGGGATGGATATGAATTTAGGTTCTCCTAGAAGGTACTTCCCAGTCCTCTCCTTTTTATTCTCTCTTTCCAGATCCCCTTTCAGAGAGACAGAATAAACTCGCACATTTCCAAGGCTGATTTATTGTTAGAAGCCGTGGCTGGCTTGTTCCTTCACACCGCGGAGAAATAAAGAGGAGCCCCTTGGCTCATTTGGGAAGGAGAAGCTTTGCCATATTGCTGAGCGCCCATGCAGCGCTCCGCTCACAGTAAACAAAGTACCACTAAAGCATCATAAATAAAATGGCAGCACGATCGCACAGTCATCGATTTACGGAGCGGCAGCGGCCGAACAAACACCCATAAAACAACAACCGCCGCCGCACACTCGAGCACGACCCCGACCGAGGAGCATCACATACACCCCCCGCATAGTTTTCTCCGACTTGCCCAAATACATAAATAAATAAACACAAAAACACACAAATAAAATAATAGAATAAAATTAAGGGAGAAATTTTCAAACATGACAATAAAGGAGGCTTCCGATCTCTAGCCGGTCATAAATAATGATAAGATGGCAATCGAGGGGCTGGAGCAGAGGCAGCTGGCCATCAACAGCAGTGTGGGATCTCTATGGAGAAAAATAAATAAAGAAGCAAACTCTCCCTGCTCTGCTCGCTGCGAGGGTAGAGTTGAATATTTACCGCAGCAAATTGAAACAAAGGGGGAAGCAGCCTGGGTCCGGGTGCACACACACCCGCACGCACACACACGCACTCACTCCAGCCTCTGCTACTGACCTTTGCCTCGAACAGCAATAACTCACCACATAAATGAACAATCAACGGAAATACCTTAAAATAAAATCCATCCTTTCTAACGAAGCATTTCGTCCTCTCGGCTCGACAATAACCTTTCCATAAGGAACGAAAGCTGTCAGCGAAATGGCCAGCTCTTGCGGGGACGGTGATGGGGGCAGGAGAAAAAAAGAATAATAGAAAGCAGTGCTTGCTCTGAACAGAAACTGGAAAAGCGTAATCGCAGACGGAGCCAGACCGGGTCTCCACTCCAAATGCCACAATAATGCGCTGTATTATGTGCTCACGTGGTCATACGTCAACTTAAATCCTTTTATTTGAAATAGGGAATCATTGAAGGAACTGGCTTTCTTAGAGCGAGCCTTCGCTTTTTAAAGCCTTAACCCAATATGTTAAAGAAGAGTTTTAAGGGAGGAGAAAAAAAAATCTAAGAGATGCAGATGACTGGGGGAGGGGGGGAGATTGGTTTGATTCTCTTTCCTCCCACACCAATATTTCTTTACACAAAGCCCATTGGAAGGTAAGCGGAATTCTTCTTATAATATGGGATTATGCTGCACTTTGATACTTAGCCTAATTAACCGGCATTTGCTCCCCAGGCCCGCCACTCTGCTCCACGTCGCGTATCCTCCGCAACTCCCGAAGAAAACCCAAATCTTAATGCTATTATTTCCAGCCCTCTTCTAAACGGGACGATTACCAGCCTTCCCCCCACCCCCAGCTGCTATTGTACAGGGCTTGCTCAACTCCCACTCGCTACATCAGGGCTCCTGTAGAAACTAAAAAGACCTTTAATTACCTGACAAAGGCAAAAGACCGTCTCTTCTAAGAAGCTAGTTGATTTTTGTCCTCGTAACACCCTATGAAGAATACACCTTCCTTCACTGGCGTGCCTCTGAATTTTGCAAAATCTTTTGGGACCTTGCTGTTAAACCTGTGCTTACGCATTTCCTATATAGCTAGTTTGAGTGATGCACAAAATTATAGGTTGCTAATGATGAAAAAAAATTGAGGAGGGGGAGCTCTTTGCCTAAGGGGAAAAAAATTAAGAAAAAAAGAGAAGAGCGAAGCTGTATGCAGCCCCTGAGCCAGGCAGCTTTGCCTGTGTGTGAACACATCACATCTTCCCTGTTAGACTGTTTAACTTGTTCTATTGACACAATAAGCTAAACAAACAAAAGAAACCCTCCACTCACATAACTTTTCTAGAAGGAATCAAAGCAAAACAGGCAGTTCATTCTTTTAACGT